TTTTTCTACTTTTCATTATTTATAATATGAGGCAAAAAATAGATAATAAAGAAATACCAAAACATTTATAAATAGCCTAATGTTATAACATTCTGATGGAAAGCTTAAAAATAGATGATATGCTAATATCTGTTACTGTTTTTAGCATTTCTTCAGCACTTCTGTAGATTATCCGCAAATTCTGGTCAAATGTATGGGAAAAATAAGTCAATTATCTTTTCATATCATAAGAATTTAATATTTATTTATGTTTTTTAAGTTTACTATTAGTTTATAAATAAATCATAAGATATTTAATTTATTAACACATAATAACAATAATAATAGCGTTTAGCCTTAATTGTGAAAAAATAATTTCAAGCATAAGTTTGGAGTTACAGTATATGATATGTACTAAAATAAGTGTTGAGAAAATGGTTAATTCATTTGTTTTCTGCTTAACTAATGTTATAAATTATAACTTATAATACTTTGTAAAGTGATAAATAAATTAATTTTTTCGGTTAAAAAATGTGCTTCATTTCACTTCTATTGTGTTTATTATAATAAACATAATAAAACTACTTTAACGGAAACTATGTATATTACTATTAATATAATTACATTTTTTGGTCAATAGATTCAAACAAATAGATTATTTATGTCAAAAACATAATATTATTTCTAAATTGATTTATTTAAAAAAACAATACACTATTAAGCGGTTCCGAAATCACTATATTTGTGCCTAATTTACCAAATATCAAATACAATTTTATATCCTATCCTATAGTCTGTTATTTAATGTGTAATAAAGTTATACATCAGAGATATATTAAAAGATATGTCGAGAAAAAGTATGCTTTAAATTAATTGCTTCGAGAGATAAAGCATTTATACTGTATATTGAATGCATAATAAAGAAAACTTATATTCTTGAAAATACTTAAATACAGTGTTTATTAGCCAACATGTATTGAAAAGTAATTGCAAACTCTCCTTCCTTATTAAACATTTATATGATTTATATGTGAAATACATTTTACGTATGCTTTTTGTTTGGTTATATAATATACACAAAAAACGAGAAATTATTTTTTAGGTCATAAATTTCCGCATTTTTCATTATGATAACTATAATATTAATATAATTTTTTTTATATGAAATCAAATAAATATAATACAATTACATAATAATTATGTTTTTTATTATTATCGTAACAGATCTGAACTTACAGTAAGCGAAATCATTTACGACTAGTTTTACCATTCGGTTATTCAAATGTAAAAATAAAAAGTGTTTTAAAAACTTTTATTAAATAAATAATAAAATATTTTATTATTTGGAAAAATGCATTAAAATTTTTATTTAAAAATTTGCTTTAATAGAAAAATCATAATTGGAGTAAAAAATAGATAAAAATTATTTTATAGAAATGAAAAGTTTTAATCATTAAAACCAGACATAGATTTTAAATAATGGTGAAAATTGTTGAGCTTTTATCTGATACATTTACCATCTTTACATCCATTAGGACAGGCGTCTTCCACTTGCAGTTTGCTTGACCTAAACATCGGACACTTGTACACAATGTTAGGCTTACATCCCGGGCCCACCAGATCTGATCCGCAATACTTCTTGCGTCGACTGTTATTATCGCCACAATTGCAGCGAAGGTTTTGAAAGCATGGGTTGTCTGTCAATCAATCATTAATTAATTTTGTTTCATTTACTTAAAAATAAATCAATATTCAGTTAATACATTTCAATCAAATATTTTAAATTAAAACATTTAAATTGATGACTAAAACAGATGTAATAAGTTTGATTACCTTTATTTTCTTTGGTATTGCACGGATAGCCCTTACCCTCAGTACACGCCCTCAACTCGTATGCAGTCTTTCTCATATTACTTTTGCCACAAAAGTATATCAGATCTTGACTACAATTACTCGCTTCTGAGCCCACATTTAATTCGTTACCGCAATACTCGCCAACAAATTTAGCCGTACATAAGCACTCCTGACCCACAGTCCCGGGTATTGCCACTAATAATAACCCGATATATATTGAAACCAATACTCCCACTGTCTTCACAATATTTATTTTCATCTCAATAATAAAACTTTAAATAATATTTCTATTATTAGAAAATTAATATATTTTATGCAAATTTAATTAAATTTCTCACAACTACTGGAAATTCAATTTATTTGTTAGTTTGTACGCAAAGCATGAGTTTCTTCACTATAAATAACAAGTAAATTGAGTTTGAATTGAATTTTATTATTCATTTGTTTTCTTATACATGAATTATCGCAACAAAAACAGAAAAGCATTTCATTCACAATAAGAAAACGGATTTCAATTGATTTAAAATATGAGGAAAGTTTGAAAATTTAATTTACATTTTTGATTACAAACGCGAATTCTGCTAATTTCTAAAATGATTAATAACTTTCGTTTTAATAATTTCATTGTTAAATGTATTTTGAATATAAAATAATGTTTTAATCGATTCAACGCCTCATTGATTATGATTTGAATACAAAGCACTCACGCATTATTCAAATTAAATTTTTGAGCTCATCTTTTATTTGTTTTCAAATAATATCAAAACCTATGCATAATATATGCCTTTCAACGCAAACTACCGGTTATTAACTATTTAATAACAAAAAACACATAAATTTTAAATAATATATTTTTGTATACATTTTAATATTGTATTAAATAATAACTTTTTGAAAACTCGAATAATAAAAGTGCACTCAATTTATGTTTATTCTTGCATTCAATTTACTAAATATGAAAGTTGTTATTCATTTAATTCTCATTTATTGAAATTACAATTGAAATTAAAAGTTTTTCCAAAAAATTCAATTAATAGATTTGTTTAAATTTCATTATATAATTGAAACCACAATAAATTTGAATAAAATTCATTTTATTTAATAAAGTAATAATTGATAAATAACTTGAACAATAAAAATACGATTACATTATTAATAAAAATATGTTATTCCTTAATAAATATCATTATTTAACAAATGCTTACAATAGTAGGAAAACAGTGTTTAACTGAATCTATTATTGATATTATAATTATGTTTTCGTTTTCATATGTTTTCAAAAATAGGTTTACATTTCCAGGCATTATATGATTGAATGCTTTCACAACTTCTAACACAAAAACAAATCTACAAAAAAGGAAATACAGTTAACACTACCTTTCATTAGGATTTAGTAAATCAGTAAATCTTTTTTAATATATGAACTAATTTTGTATATATTATACATACTGTATATATATTGAGAACATATTAGATATTAATCTAATTTTAAAATGTATTTAATTAAGTGTTCAATATTTGGCAGTAATAACAGGATTAATGGGAACACAAATCGTTATATAATCAGTGAATTCACGACTCGAATCCTTTAGTATATGTAATCATATAATAAATATAATATAACAATAATAACAATATAATCAAGTCATGAGTTATACAATGTATTTAAAATAACTAAATATAATCAATGAATGCATTGACAGAAAAGTATTGCTAAAATTGGAAAGAATTCAAATGGATTTCCACACAAAAAAACAGAGAGTGAAAAACATTAGCTATTTATTTATAATTAATGCTTTTGTCGCATGAATTGACATGAAAAACAGCAGTTCATTGGAAATAATGTTATTAAACTTAATACAAGTGAGAAAACGACAATCACAATTAAAGTATATATAAGTTATATAACAATAAACATGTATTTTCTATCAAGAAAAACAAAATGTTGTGGTTTTTAGTTATTTGTAGTAAACGTTTATAACAATAGATTAAATTAGAAAACAATTTAAAATCAAATACAATATAAACAACAGAATCTGAACAAACATTTTAATCAAACCATATATAGGATTGCAATGAATTTGCTTTTATATGACTTTTAAATGACCCGCAATTGATGTCATTCACAGACAGGTCTATCGGTTCATCGTTTCTATTGTAGACTATAAGCACTGTTGAGTTGTCGGCGCGACGAAAGCCGGTCACCTCCAGACCCTCCACACCATTGTATTGCTTCACTCCAATGCGCACAGAATCGGGTGACAAGAATTTGCTGAAATGACCAAGGGCGTAGAAAAACGGCTGTTTATAGTACTCGTTGCTTGTCTTGTTTATAATGATGGGCGCGTCCACAAAATTTCCGACCCAATTGGGACCGCCCTGGAGGTCGAGGGCCAGATTCCAGTCCGTCCAACCGCCTGTCCAATGATTGAGATCCTATAATCATTTAATTATAAGTTAATATATCAATCATTTCGCAACTATAATGTAAACTAAAATTAAACTCAATTTCTAACTCAAATTCTTTGCTATAAAAAGCAAAAGTCATGCCAACGACTGAATTTTGATAAATAAATAAACTATTAATTAATCGTTACGTTTCGTGAAATGAGAAAAAACTATTGATGTCAAGTATACACCTATTAAGTGCTTATTAAATAAATAAACAAATAAAATAAATTTCACTTAAAATAACAACAGAATTGTTGAACAATAAAAGAAAGCTAAAAGAAATCAACAAAAAA